TTTTTTATTTTGGTCTAGACATCCCAAAATGTGATGTCCACATATGTGGACGCCAGGTCCGAGGAGGTTAAGTCACACTGGAAAGGTTTAAGAGATTAGAAGTAATTAAATAAAAACCAATTTACATTTAAAGTCCATAAGCAGGTGAATCATTAACAAGCCCCACAGTACGCTCATATCACAGTTCATTAATATGCACCTAAGCTGACCTTGAATAGTCAATCAGTAGCAGTTCATGTGCCACGCTAACTGTTCTACAGCAAACTTGTTTCATCATCAAAAAGATCGATACATTTAATGTCGCAGTTTAAAAAAAGGGCCAAAAAGAGAAACCACGGCTGAAACTAAGCCAGTATGTGATGTGTTTGCTACATGCTCAGAAAGAGGAGGAGGAGGTGTTGGCGCGGCAGCAGTCCAAGCAGCGAGCGCTGGACGCAGAGCGGGAACGTGTGGCTGAGATGCAGCGGCGGCAGCGGGAGCAGGAGCAGTTCAGTGCCTTTGAGGAGATGATCCGCCGCCAAGAGTTGGAGAAGGAGCGCCAACGAGTGCTTCTGGAGTTCGCCACTCCGGCTGAGCCTTCCTCTGACACACCCCTCATCCCAGGCATCCAGGGCCCCCCGTTAGTCTCCCCTACCTTTCCTCAGATCCCAGGAGAACTGTCCAACCACCAACATAACCGCCCTCCCACATCCATCGGCACACCCACCACCGGCCCGCCCAGCTTTGACCGCTCACTCAAGCCAGGGTCTCTGGTCAGCCCGGGGAATAACAGTGAGTTCATTCTTTTGTGTCACGGTGGGCTGGCCTTCACAGGATTTAAAGCGCTGCCCTCCTCCTGGGGGGGAAGTATTTATTCCTCTGAGCTGATTTCTTTCCCCCCCGACCTACTTAATTTTATTTGTTTGTTTGCACCATGACTTGTTTCAGAATCTCACAAGAGTCAAACTTTCCCATTCAGCTTTTGTGTATGGTCTCTGCAGATACAATGGTGGATGCCCTTCGGCAGTTGGCTGTTCCCGCTGAGTTGTGCCGGAGCTTTCTGCGGTTGGCTGAGGCCAACACAAGCAGAGCTGTAGAAACTTGTGGCATCCTATGTGGCAAACTGGTAAGAAGCTGGAACGGTGTAGCTATGCTGGAGCGATAGGTT